TACCTCCCTTTGCTCCAGAGAGATGTGTGTCAAGGGGGTCCGTATGTGACATTCACATGCAGGGTCTGTTCTGGGTGACATGCTGAGAGGCTGTTCCTTTTGGAATAGTTCCTATGCTAGAAACTGCATCTGGCTTTGCCAGAGGTGCTCTCAACAGCCTGTAGGATGCTCTGGGCAGATATATGACCTGGCTACAGCTTCCAGTTCCGACACGCAGTGCATATATTGTCCTTGCTACTCTGAAAATGAATAAATCAGTGTCTTGTTGTAACAAAACTACGAACCCTGTTGAAGTTTGAGAGAGGAGAGACTGCAGACCCCAGTGACGGTACAAACTCAGAGCATGCACTACCCATGAAGTAATCAAACAAAGGGCTTGTCTAAATTTAAAATGCTACGGTGGCACGTTCTCCCATCAGCAAAGGTAATCCATCTCCCCAAGGGGCGGTAGTTAGATTAATGGAAGAATTCTTTCATCGACCTACTGCTGTCTACATGGGGTCAGCTTAACTACGCCACCCAGGGGTGTGGATTTTTCACACCCCTCAGCAACACAGTTATGCCAACCTAAATTTCTACTGTAGACCAGCCCTAAAGGAAGGAGTGCTGTTGAGAAGCTGGGCTGTTTCCAATGAGATTCTGACCTTAATGGCACAGATCCTTTGGTGACTCCTAGAGTATGTCAGCAGTCACAGAAATTAATGAACCAACAAGTGTCCACCGCACCAGAAAACAAGTTACCACAGCACCAGACGAAGAAAGTGCTAATTGGTTTCCTTATAGGCAGTCTCCGCAGAGAGGAATGAATGGACATTGAGACGGAGACATTGTCACCCCTACGTGTCAGGAGTGATGCACCAATTGAGGGGCAAGGGGAACATGCAGTACCTGTTCTTTGATCTCCCGGGTTGTCAAGCAAACAGATTTCATCAGCATTATGTTCATTCACACAAAGTTACAGTTGGAAGGGATAACAGGTCACTTTTCCCACCCCCTTGGCCAGTACAGGATAGTCTCCCCTATTTTTCTGGGGAAATTGGTCCCATCTGACCGGGCTCACTGCTAGGCTATTCCAGGCTAAACACCCCTCACATTTAGGATGTTCTTCCTAATATTCACCTTCAGTTCTCTTTTGCTTATTGTCTGGGAAACAGCCGACTTTGCATTAAAAATATTTTCTGACCCAAGACCAAAAAGGACTTAAATGCTAACAATTCCCACCCTCGCTGGACCATCTTAAACACCAGCATTTGGGATAAGGTGGAATTCTTTATAAAGAATAAAGCAGAACATCGGAAAAAGAGAGAAGAGCTTCATATCAGCAGCTAAAGGGAAAATCCAAGACACGTTAAACCACTTGAAAAGAATTCAAACTCCAGTAAAAGGCAACAAGGAAAGAGGCCCAGCACAAAGTATATACAAAAGCCTCCTTTATGGTGACAAGAATAGCAGACAGAGGGGTGAGAGCCAGAATCCGGCAACACTGCAGAGAACATGTTACTGCATGGCCTTCTGCAGACCAGCATCCAGGTAGTGAGAGAATTATAAAGCAAGCCGGAGAAAAAGCAAACAAATGTGCTGAATGGAGCATCAACATCTTTAGCTGCAAAATGTGCTTTCTTTAGAGGAAGGTAAGTTCGACATAGTGTCGTTCTAGAATGTCAGGTGCACTTGTACAGACTTCAATAGCTTAAAGATAGAAGACTAAGCCAGCATAAACACGAGGACCCATAGATCTATTTCATTTGAATACACTCAGTCTAACTCCACTGACTCAGAGAATTAAGAGTTAAGTGCAACTTTGATGCTTTGTAACTTAAAATATTTCCCCCAATTGCCCTTCCCAAATTTGGCTAGGATCACACCCGTCTTTGAGGACTACGAACATGCCAAGTTTATACAGCATTTGCCAGGAAAAGACAGCATGCGTATTTCTTTTGAAGTGGGAACAAGTGTATTAAGTTTTCCACCCTTCAAACCTGAACACAACTGAGAAACTTTCGCTCAGACTTTCCAGAAATATTAGCCTGGGCTGAGATGAAGCAAGATGAAAGCTTCAGCCTCCATGGAGAATTTAGGAGAGCTGTAAGTGACCGAGCATGGACTATCCTTCTCAGCTATGACTACATTCACAACTCACGTGGGAAGTGTACCGCTGAAGTTACGGAAATCTGCACAAGGGAACAAGATATTAAGGAAAAGTCTTGTCTGCATGGCTAGGCTTTCTAGGTTCAATCTGCACAAGGAGGAAGCAGAGAGAAGACAGAAGTATTTTTACACACTTTCCTCTAATCAGGGAAATGCTATCAGAGACAGGGTACAGACTTGATTACTCATTTTTAGTAAAGACAGATTTAGGATGTGGAGACATCTAAAAGAAGTCAGCATGGGAAGATGCTGCTCAAAATGGCATAAGATTCCCAACTGCCCATTGCCTGCAGGACAATGCAAACCTCCCTTCCCATAAACACACACCTTTTTACTCAACTTTCTCCAATCAACACTAGTGCTTTCAGGACACAGAAAGGCAGTGTCTGGATAAAAATCTTTCAGCATACACATGCTCCTTTTGCCTGTGTTACTAGCACATGAAAACTGAGACTGGTTACTGCCTTTATACACTTGCAATCTCTGCTAGTTATTCTTGCATTTGATTTTGGGAGGGCAGTGAAACACTAGAGTGTCTTGTCTGTTTCTAGTCAGTTTCACTGCTTAGCACTCTAGCACTAACACAAGGCTGTGATGTTTGGGTTGCAAACCTGGCAGGGGCTGTTTAATCCAAACAAATTTCCCATGTAAGAAAATCCAAGATGGATAAAATCTTTCTAAGTTAGTTACGTTTTTAAAAACTATTTTTATTTTAATTAATAAAACTTACATTTAGAACCTGAACAACCTATCAGTCTCTTTATCTTACCCACTGGATTTTGTAGTCACAGGACACATGCCTCTCAGCTGCTGCTCCATTATCCCCAACACTCCCAGCACAATTCCACCATCTCCAGGCCCCCAGGAGAGCTCTCACCTCCCCAACTGACACCCTTGGTACAGCTTCATCAAGCTCCAGGTTTCAGATCAGCTCCAGTCTCTCCCCTCCCCCCATCAACGCACACTAGGTCTATTGGGGCAGCTCCAACTCTGCACAAATCTCAATGCTTCCCTAGATCCCCTTGGTGCAGCTCCATCCACACCTTCCTCTTCACCAGGCACACTCCTGCAACTCCATCATCTCCTGTTCAAATATCCCCAAAACTCCTGGTGCAACTCCATAGCTTCATTCTCTCCCCTTCTTCAGTTTTACTATCACCCCAACTGTGGCACTCTAGAGCGGACCAGGGGTCCGCACCAGGTCTCTGCCCCATCCTCACTTCCCCCAGTGCAGCTTCATCTCCCCTCACCCTGGTCCCCCTCATGGGTGCAACTCCTGCTCTACATGCCCCATTGTTCTCATTATGAACACAACTTCATATTCAGTGCTCCCATCCTGTCTCTTCAGGGCAGCTCCATCTCCACATGTCCCTTCCCCAAGACCCACTTCCACTGCAGCTCTGTTCTGTCCCCCCAGAAGTTCCATAGCCACCATCCCCATCAGCCAGCCCTTGGGGCAGCTCTATCTTCCCTCCCTCCCCCCATTCCTTAGGACCTCCTTGGGGTAGCAGTTTTTGCCACAACTAGCTTCTAGAGATGTCATGGTGCAACTAGATCTTACTCCCTTTCCCACCGCTCCTCCTGCAGCTATATAGCCACACAACTCCCACCCAGGTGCAGCTCCACCTCTAGGCTGCCAACTGGGGTTCCCCCTTCTGTGAGGCTCCATCTTTTTCCATGCACACATCCTCACCCGCCATGACCCCGGGTGCAGCCCCCCCAGTCACCCCCTCCAAGCCCCACAACCCAACTCCCCCAAGACCTCTGATGTAACTCTCCTCCCCACCCAATCCCAGCTCCCCATGGCCCCCCCTTGAAGCCCCACACCCCCATTTAATCCTAGTCCGACAATGTTTCCATGCATCTCCCCCCAACCAAGTCCCAGATTCCCCATTACCCTCCCCATATAGCTCCCCCCTCCCAAATCCCAGCTCCCCCCAGTCCACTAATGCAGCTCTCCTCCCCCACCCAACCCCAGCTACTAAAGGACCCCCTGCAGCTCCCCCTCCCCACCCACATCCAGCTCCCCACCACCCCCTGCAGCTCCATACCCTCGCTTAATCCTAGTTCTACAACCATCCCCCTGCAACTTCACCCCCCCACTCCAATCTCATGGCGCTCCCCTGGCTTCTTCCCCTTCCCT